TTAATTTTAATTTTTTTTAAGGCAGGATTTCTCTAAGTCGCTCACTTGCCAGGCTGGGCTCAAATTTGTGATCCTCCTGCCTCAGCCTCCTACAGTGCTCAGATTACAGGAGTACAGTACCATACCTGGATTGTCTGTATATTTTATGGAAAAAAAGTTATTAATACAGGGGGAAATAGCCATCAGCTCTGCACTTCAAGCTTTCGAATTACATCTAGTGGAAGGAGGAGTTTGTGGGAAAAAGTCACTTCCAGGCCAAAGACATGCTGAGCGGCTGGGATTTGGGCAATTTATCTGGTAGAACCGGCTGCAAACAGCAGCCTCCAAAACCTGCAGGAGAACTGCATCCTCAGGCTTGACGCAGTCACCCGCAAGGCCCGGAGGGGACTGGCTTCACACCCCCTCCCCAGGCTAGGCTGGAATAGCAAGAGACTTTTGGAACACGCAACTGCAGGGCTTTCCTACATGACCTCTTCCTGGGCTTGTGGCTCCTCGTCTTCGTCGGATGACACAGACCAGCAGACAGACACACCCCTCAGGGACAAAGCACGCCACTCACCTGCTCATGAACTTGTAACGGCGGGGCAGGTAATAGATTTTTCTCCTGGAAGAACAGCAAAAATGAAGCCAGTCGAGAAGAAAACCCATCGTCAGTTACAGTTTGAACTAGCAAGGAAGGAAAGGAGATTGGAGACAGAAGCCTGTAAGAGGTGAAGAAGGAAAAACTAAAGAGAGATTAACAGTGAGAAATGTAGCAGGAAGCCAGGGCGTGCATCCCGAGCAGCGGGATCTTGGGAAAGACCTCCGACCTCCGACGCTCTCCCGGCCCTCCCGGGGCTGTCTCTGCTCCTGGCGGCCCCGGGCCTAGCAAGTGAGCATGCGTGGAGCGAGGATTTGGAGCAACGGCTACGGATGCGCGCTCAGCTGAGGTCAGCTTTGCTCCAGAAAATGCAGAGATGGACGAGGGGTAACATACATCATTTAAGAAGGGTGCTATTCCAGTAAACGAACATTTATATGGCAATTTATGTTCACAGAACACTCTTCTCATAATTTAGACAGAAGCAATATAAAAATATATGTATTTTGCAACCGGCCTCGGAAGGCTCAATTATCAACACACAGCTATAAATAACGGCCAAACTGCTGGCTCCAGATAAAAGTAAATCAAGCAGGTAAAACCAAGAGATCTTAAGATAATTTTTAAAATGTTGGACATAGTAAGTGTATGTTTTATGATTACATATTTACACTTCCAAAAATATTAAAAATGGAAATCCTGGGCCTTTAGGGGACAGTAGGTGGGTTAGATGCTTTCTTAAGATGCGACCTTCTTTCTGCGTATTAGGCTTCCACCAGTGGAGTGGTGACAAAACGGACGCAGTGTATATGTGCTCTAAGTGGTCGCTGCGCCGTCTCATTTCTGGACAACAGGAAATTTATGTGTCACAAAGTAGTCAGTGCACGTGTGACAGTGAGCAGAGGGACAATGAAAAGATCAGCGGTTGTCAGGTGTTGGGGCTGGCAAGGAGGAGTGAGCAGGGGAAGCTGGGGAATTCTATGGCCTTGTTCTGTATGATGCTGCCACAGGAGACAAATGACAAGAGGCACTGGCCCACTCCAGGGGTCTGTTTGACACCAGCAAACCATCAACTATAGGCTTTAGTTAACAGTGATGCTGTCAATATTGGTCCATTCATGGTAACAAATACTTCAGCAGTACAAGCTGTTAATAAGGAAACTGGGCACATTCTGTACTGCTGCTTAATTTTCTTTTTTTTTAATTTTTATTTATTTGAGAGAGAGAGAGAGAGAGAGAGAGAGAGAGAGAGTGTGTGTGGTGTGTGTGGCCAGCTCAGCCCACCAGGGGGCGGGGCTGGCTGGCATGTGGTGCTGGGGGATTGAACCGCGGTCCCTGAT